GCACCAGGCTCTGTTCTAAGTATTGGAAATATGATGTGAACAAAAGGCCAAGACCTCTACTTTCATGAGTGGGACTAGAACAGAGTTGCCTTGATTCTTTGCATTCCTGATTAATGAATCCACACGCTGAGAAGAGACAGAATGAAGGAGGGTGGGGAGAGGCAGGAGAGCCCGCAGAATTCTTGGCCTCCTGCTCCCCTGGCCCCACACTCTCCAACCTGCGCCTGCCTCTTGGTTGCCATCTCAGCAATGGGCACCAGTCATCGTCAGTTTCTTCCCAAATACCTTGGCAGCCTCCACTCCCCCCTCCCCACTGCCACTGTGCTAGTCCAGGCCTCTATCACCTCTGGCTTGGAGCTCAGCCTCCCTGCCTCCAGGCTGAGTTCTCACATCCCATAGCCCACCAGCCTCCTGCAGGTTGTTTCTTATGCTCTAACCTCCTCTCCACGGTCTCAGGGCACTTCACCTGAGACGTTTTCTGTCGTGGTCTTAGGATCAGCCGCACTTAGCCTATCTTCCCCCTAAAACTGCCCAATCATCTTTTCTCACACTTCTGAGCCTTTGTGCAAGCTCCTCTTCCAGTCTGAAATGGTCTTCCTCTTCTCAGCTTCCTTCCCATCCACCCACCACCCCCATCTCAACCTAGGTGCCTCTTTAAATGTCCTTTCCAGTCGGGTTCAGTGGCTCAGCCTGTAATCCCGCGCCTTTGGGAGGCTGAGGTGAGTGGATTGCCTAAGCCCACGGGTTCGAGACCCGCCTGGGCAGCGAGACCTCATCTGTACGATAAATCAAAAAATCAGCCAGGCATGGTAGTGCATGCCTGTAATTCCGGCTACTCGGGAGGCTGAGGCGGAAGGATTGCCAGAGCCCAGCAGGCAAGGCTGCGGTGGCCGGGAGCGGCCACTGCACTCCAGTCCGGGCGACCGAGTGAGACCCCAACTCAAAAAAAAAATGTCCTTTCCTCAGGGCGAAGTCCCTCATGCCCTAGGCTGGGCTTGGTCCACTGCCTGTGGCCCCACAGAAGCTTTCAGACCATTCTCTTACCTCAGTGTGGCCATCTGTCTGCTCCTTCTCATTGTCGGTAGGTCCTTGGAGTCAGGGACTCTGTCTGTCCTGCTCACTGTTGCCAGTAATTAGCATGGTACTTGGCACATAGTAAGTGCTCAGTACTTTGAGAAAATAAGTAGATGAATAAACTTTGGCTTGTCGCTAGTAGAACTTGACGTCTCTGCTATTCCATTTACTTGATCTATGACACTGGCACTTGATATATGATCTCTCTGAGCCCCTGTTTACTCACCTATAGGAAAGTTATTAATGTGCACTTGCAGGATTGTTGGAGAGTAAAGTGTAAGAATCTGTGTGAAAATGCCTGACACCTAGAAGCTGCTTTGTAAATGCTTGCCAAATCTGTGGATGAGAAGCAAATAGCCTTGGTGAGATCCCCTTACTCAGAAAGCTTATATCTTGGGTTAACCCCATACATGGTGGCTAAGACATAGGCTTTCAAGCTGGGCTACTGGACTAGATTCCCAGCTCTGTCATTCACTATCTGTGCAACTTTATGCCAGACACTTAAACCATTATGTGACTCAGTTTCCTCATCTGTAAAATGGGAATTATAATGACACCTACTTCGTGGGATTCTTTTGGGAAGAATTCAGCTTAGGCCAATGCCTGGCACCTAGCTAATGCCCGATCAATGTTAGCTGTTGTCATTGCTATTAATATGTGACATTGACAACCACACTGTAAGTCTTGTATCCGTGGTCCTTCTTGACAGATGAAGAGACCAATTTCCAGAGAGGTTAAATGACTACCCAAGGTCAAGCAGCGAGGAAATGGCAGCCTTATGCTTCAAGGCCAGGTCTCCTGCGCCCAAATCCCATGTAATTTCCACTACATCAAAGAAGCAGCTCAAAATAGGCCTGTGGTGCTTCAGCTCATTTCCTCTAAGCCCTTCCCAAGTAACCAACCACGGGAGTGCAAAGCTGCTCCCCTAAGAGCATTCATTTAGCAGCTACAAAGGATGTGTGCCCAGTGGGTCCCCACCATCTACTGGGGCTTGTGCCAAGCCAGCTCTGCCTGGGTAGCCTTGCCTGGTCTGTGGAAGGGACCCGAGGGGCCCAGCCACACGGAGAATGAGGCAAAGAGGTGCATGAGTTCCATGGAAGAAGCAGGAGACCAAGCTGGGTGCAAAAGAGGGGAGGAGAAGTGAGAGGAAATCCACACTGAAGGACTGCCAACCATGTGCCGGACATTCCACTTATATCATACCATTTAATCCTCACTGTAACCACTCAGCCACTGACTGTCAAACATCTATGTATCGAGCCACACAGGAGGTCCCAAAGATAGAATAGTGAGCAGGAGGTGGCTGTTGACCTCAAAAGGCTTGCAAGTCCGTGAGAGCAACACCACGTGCCCAAGAAAGAGCTATAACTGTGATGGTAGAGGTCCAGATAGGGTGGCAGGTGGAGACAAGCAAGGAGTAGCTGGGAATAACTTGGGAAAGGAGTAGGCAGCTCCTAAGGTGCCCATTTTACATATGATGAACCTGGGGCTCTCAGGAGCCAGCTTGTCTGGAGCCAGGCAGCTACCAAGTAGCAGAGTCAAGCTGTGCCCTGGGCCATGCTGTCTCCAGCAGTCCCTGCTCTCTCCACGCAGGCAGCCTGGATGCTGTCACTTTCCTCCCCACCCCCTTTCCCTTTCTCAATGATCATCTGGCCCAAAGATTAACCAAATGCTGCTAAAGCTGCAGCCGCTGTCCGTGGCTAAGATGCCAGCAGGTTCTGTGGATGAGCAGAAGCCTCTGAGCCTCTGCTACTGATTCCTTCAGAGCAGGAGGTTCAGGGGGTGGTTCCAAAGGGGTGGGGGTGGGGGAAGTGGTGAGAAGAAAGGCTTTACCTACAGTGTGAAGGGACTTCTTGGACAGGTCAAAGATAAGCAAGGTGACAGGGACAAGTGAGGGCAAGCCTCTCGGGCACATGTGACTACACTCAAGCTTTTCTCCATGCCCCCCAAAGGCCTATCCTATCTAAGAGGACTTGGTGCCTGCCCTCATTTTTCCTCAAGGACAGAAGCAAGAAAATACCCACTTGAGCCACTGGCTAGACTTGCTAGGTTCCCTGTCAGGTGGGATCAGCAGATTCGCTCTCCCCCATCCCCATTCCCGTCCTCATCCTCATCCTTACAGGACAAGACACCAAAGTGGAAAAAGTCTCAACCTGTGAGCATAGCTCTTGACGTACCCTAAAGGCACCTTAGCAGAGGTTGCCAAAATCGTGGTTCTGTTTCCCAGACACCAGAACCCTCTCCCAGATACCAGAAGCACAGCAGTTGTCCCTTGGAGGAGTCTTTTCCCTCTGAGAAAAATACAGAGTGGGAGAAGGGAAGTTTCGTGCAGGGTAGAGAAACAGGTAATTTTTCTGTGCCAAAAAGAACACACCAGCTGTACCTGCAGACCAACTCCAAGCTGAGGAAAAGAAGTTAGGCAAGGGCTGTACACCAAAGAAAGACTGTTTTAAATTCAGTCATCTTTTTACATACTTTCAGATCACTGAGAAATTGTCAAGCAAATGATCTCAAAAAAAAAACGTTAGGGAGGGGGAGAAGATAGCGTAGAATAATTGAGTTATGGGATTGAAACTTCTCTAACCCCTCCCCACTGACCCATCAGACTCACACTCCTCTCCAGGCATCCCTGAAAAAAAACATCAAAAACACGCACCCACGTTATACCCTGTGTGCTCTCACTCACTTAACTATCAAACGGATCAGAGAAATAATGTAATCCCTAGCAGCAGGAATTAATGTACCTCTTTTTACCAGAGGTCACATTAAGGAAAGGTTGCACATATAGAAACAAGAGGTGACACTGTAATTAACCCACGATAATGATTCTGCTGGGGAAGAGCGGAGGCTTATGTGCTCCAGTGTTCATAGCAGGGAGATTTTTTTTTAATCCCTTCCAAGCCAGTCTATGAATGACACAGGAAACTTAGAAGGATTCACATTTCATCCACTTCCCCTGAAAACATGTTTATCCTGGAGATGAAAATCGCTGCCCGAGCCCCAGCTACGAGTAGCCCTTTCGAACCCTTTTTGGAAAGAATAATCTTTCCAAAATGTCTGCTTGCAGAAGCAAGATTTGGAATTTCATGGAAACTACAGAGAGACACAGACAGTGCAACGCTCACCCCCTGGTAGCCAGAGAGAGACAAAGAGACAGAGAGGAACAACCGAAAGACGATGCGTCCAGCGAACCCATAAAATAAAACAAATCCCCCCCAAAGCAAAGTGAAACCGATGATGCAAAAAGCACATAGAGACGTGTTGGTAATTACCCATCCAGGTTATATTTTCACCGCTTCCAGGCAGAGAAAGGGCTGGTTGAAGTTTTGTGCCCGTCTGATTGTGATGGGAGGGTTGTATTTGAAGCTCTGGGCACGTAGAGATGGAATGAGAAGGAGGCTGAGCTGGAAGAAACACCAAGGGGGGAGGGAAGGGGAGAGAGTGTGTGAGAGAGAGGGAGAGGGAGAGGGAGAGGGAGAGGGAGAGAGGGGGGAGAGAGAGCC